GCCGTTCTAACCATGTCCTATCTTGCACCATCCTCATCATCATCTCTGATACACTTGACCGTATCGCTGCAGCCTTTGTGTCAGTCCATCTCATGGAGGGTCTTCCTCTCCTTCACTGACCCTACACATTTCCAAGTGCCATGACCTTCTCCAGAGTTTAGTCCTCCCTAATAATAATACCCAAAGTAGGTGAGATCATGTACAGATCCCTAGAAGAGGATTGGTCCTTTTTGCCATTACATTAGGCTTAAAATGAGCCATCCTAAAAGAAGCTGGGAGTAGAGCATAACAGGACTGGACGTCCTTGCACTGAGACCTTCTAGATTCCAGAGATTTGGGCGGGGAGTGGAGGGGAGGGGACTTTAATACCAGAGACAGTACAAACTGGTAAGAAATATGGCAGAGACATTAGCAGAACCAGGAGAGAAGCAGGCTTTCTGACCCACAGAGCAAGAGATCTGATTGCCTTTGGGAAGGAGACTTGCTAGTCAAGAGACGCAGCTCTGAACAATTGGAGGAGCTAAGCTTGCAAACTCACAGAGCTAAAGAGCTGAGCCAGGGCTTGCTGGTGTTATTGTTAGTGCTGTTGAGCTGAGTAAGACTCACAGTAACCATATGAACAGCAGGTCTGAACTCTGTCCCATCCTCTGCCATCCTCATCATCATTTCTAGCACACCTGAGCCCATTGCTACAGTCACTGTATCAATTCATTTGATTGAAGGTCTTCCTCTCTTCAGCTGACCTTCCACCTTTCTAAGCATGTTGTTCCTCTCCAAGGAATAGCCCCTCTTAGTGATAAGCCCAAAGTATGTGAGAAAAATATCTTTGCCTCCAAGGAGCACTCTCACTGCATTTTCTCCACGATATATCTCTTTATTCTTTTGGCTGTCCATGGCATATTCAGCACTCTGCTTCAGTGCCACAGTTTAAAGGCATCAGTTCTTCTGTCATCTTTATTCATTGTTCGGCTCTCAGATGCATAAGTGATTAGAAAGACCATAGCCTGAACCAGGTGTGCCTTAGTCTTCAAACATTGCTCCTCAATAATTTGGAAAGGCCTCTGACAGTAGACTTTCCCAGTGCAATATGCGTCCTGATCTCTTGGCTGCTGGTACCAAGAGTGTTGATTGTGGATCCAAGTAAGATGAAGGTGTTGACAGTTTCAGAATTTTCTCCATTCATCATGATGTTGCCTATCCGTCCAGTGGTGAGAATTTTTATTTTCTTGAAGTTGAAATGAAATCCATATTGAATTCTATAGTGTTTGATCTTCTACAATAAGCACTTTCAGTTATCCTCATTTTCAGCAAGCAAGTTTGTGTCATCTGTATAATGCAGGTAATTGATGAGTCTTCCTCAGTGCAGTGTCTCGAATAATTGGCTCAGCACACAGATTGAATAGATATGGAGAGAGGAAACAACCCAGATTCACACCTTTCTTAGTTTTAAGCCATGTAGTGTTCTCTTGCTCCATGCACACAACAGCCTCTTTGTGTAGGTCTAGGTTTTGCATGGTTCTGGAATTTCCATTCTCAATGGTATCCATAATTTATGATCCACACAATTAAATACCTTTGTATAGTCAATAAAGCACAAATAGACCTTATGGTATTCTCTATTTTCAGCCAGGACCCATTTGATATAAGCAATGATATCCCAGGTGCCAGAACCTCTTCTAAATCCAGCTTGAATTCTGGTATTTCTCTGACTAGTACTGCTCTAGTTTTTTTAATGATCTTTAGCAATATTTTGCTTGCCTGTGATATTGATATTGTTTGGCAATTTCCACACTCTGTTAGATCATCTTTCTTGGGAATGAAACAAAATGGATCTCTTCTAATCAGTCGATCAGGCATCTTTCCTCCTAATTTCCTGACGTAGACTGGTGAGCATATCCAGGGCTGCATCTTTTAGTTAAACATGTCAGTTGGTATTCCATAGATTCCTGGGGTCTAATTTTTACCACCCCCTTCAAATGCAGCTTCAATTTCTTCTTTCATTACCACTGACTCTTGATCATATAGTACTCCCCAAAATATTTCCGGATCAGCCAGTTCTTTTTGGTACAGTGATTCTGTGTATTCCCTCCATCTTCTTTTGATGCTTCTTGAATCATTCACAATTTTGCCCATAGTGGCTCTCAGTATTGCAACTTGAGGCTTGAATTTGTTTTTCAGTTCTTTCTGCTTGAGAAATGCTCAGAGAGTTGTTCCCTTTTTATTCAGCAATTCCAGCTCCCTACACATTCTGTTATAATATTTTGCTTTGCCTTCCCAAGTTGCCCTTTGAAATCTGTTCAGCTCTTTTACCTCAGCATTTCTTCCCTTTATTTTGGTTTCTTAACACTCTAGTGCAAAAGGAGATTAATCAGAACTGACTTTGACAAGCACTGTGGCAATTGGACAATTAAAACAGACATTCAGATGGCGGGGAAGAAGAACAAACTGGGGAGGAGGGTAGAGAGAATGGTGCAGCAATGAAGGAATGAAAACCCAAAATCCCTGTAAATGTTCATTAAAACTAATAAAATTTAATAATCAAAAAAAAAGGGGAAAAAACACTCTAGTGCAATTTTCAGACATCCATTTTGGTTTTTTCTTTCTCCTCTGTCTTTGTAATGACCATTTGCTCACTCTTTTCATGAATATATCCTTAGTATTACCCAAAATTTATCTGTTCTTCAATTACTGGAGTTCAATACTTCAAACCTATACTTATGATGGTTTTTAAATTCAGGGGGGCTAGACTCAAGATCATATTTTGTTTATTGTAGGCTTGTTTTAATTTTCTTCAGCCTCTGTTTGAACTTGTTCATAAGTAATTGATGATCTATTCCATAATCAACACCTTACCTGGTTTGGACTGCTGTTATTGAGCTTCTACAACAATATTCCTTACACAGATGTGGTCATTCTGATTCCTGTACAGCCCATCAGGTAGGTCCATGTGTAAATCACTGTTTGTAATTTTTAAAAAAGGTATTTGTAATGAATAGAGAGTTGCCTGTACAAAATTCAATAATTTAATTTCTAGCATCATTTCTGTCACCAAGTCCGTACTTTCTGACTGCCATTCCTTCTTCGTTGATTTCCATTTTGGGGTTCTAATCACTGATTACTATTACCATCTTGACTGCATGGTTTCAGACTGTAAGATTTGGTAAATATCTTCAATTTTCTCCTCTTTGGCTTTAGCTATTTGTGGTGCATATATTAGAATAATAGTCATATTAACAGGTCTTTCTTGTATGCATATGGATAATATCCTATTACATAAAATATTGTACTTCATTATAGAACTTGAAATTCTTTTTAACTATGAATGCAACACCTTTGTTCTGTTTCTGTTCCAAGCAAACTATTCCATGTGAGTGATTCAAAGTGGCCAAACTCAGTCCATCTCATTTCACTAATGCCTAGAATTAAGCACGTGTCAATGCTCATGCATTCTATTTCATTTTTCACAACTTCTAGTTTTCCAGCATTCATACTTTGTACATTCTATGTTCCAGCTGTCAGAGGATGTGTGCAGGTGTTTCTCCTCATTTTGATTGACTTCCATTCTTGGGCTCTACTTCTAGTACTATAATTATCTATGTTACTTTATGGTCCATAAAATTTTCAGAGTCCTGCTATTTAAGTGGTGGTCAACCCTGCTTCCTGTTGCTGTTGTTGTTATGTGCCGTCGAGTCACTTGCACAACAGCCCTATGCACAACAGCCCTAAACTCTGCTCTGTCCTCTGCCAATTGCACTGTCTCCGACACACCCATCCTGATTATCCAAGTCATTGAATCAATCCACCTCATAAAGGGCCTTCCCCTCCTGCACTGTCCCTCCACCCTCCCAAGCATGATGTCCCTCTCCAAGGACTGGTCCCTCCTCAAAACATGTCCAAAGTATGTCAGATGGAGCCTCAGAATCCTTGCCTCCAAGGAGCCACCAGGTTTTACCCTTTCCAGGATGAATCTGTTTGTTTTCCTAGCAGTCCATGGTATTCTCAATACTCTTCTCCAGCACCACAGCTCAAAGGCATCAATTCTCCTTCTGTTCTCCTTGGTCATTGTCCAACTCTCTGATGCATAACAAGTGATTGCAAAGACCATGGCCTGTGTCAGACGCACTTTAGTCTCCAGAGAGACACCATTGCTCTTCAGTACTTTGGAGAGGTTCCTAACAGCAGGGTTTCCCATGGCAATGCGCCTTTTAATTTCCTGGCTACTGGTGCCAAGAGTGTTGACTATGGAATCAAGCAAACTAAAGCTGTGAACAATCTCAATGTCTTCACCATCCATCCTGATGCTGCCAATTGGTCCAGTTGGGAGCTATCCTGAAACTTGTCCACCATGCATGACCCTTCTGACTTTTGACATACCAGCAGCATAGCTTTCAACATTACATTAATCCACAAGTACAGCAAACTGACAGACAAGACTAATAAGAGCAGTGTTCAACAAGCAGGAATTAGATACTTATGCTATAAAGTATCTAGCATCTTTCAGCCAAGGTTTACTGGCATAAGAGGGTGCTTTTTGATACATAACACTTGCCTGAGCAGGGCAGAGACTGTCCCAGCCCAAGAGGCCTGAAACTCCAAGGGGTTTTGCCAAAAAGAGACCTGATTGTCCAATGAGCACAACCAAGAAACTGTCCTGATACAGAACTGTATCCTAAGTCACTCCTGATACGGAATTGAAGCCTGATACTTCTCTAATAAACCCTGTAATTCAATAATGATGAGTTCTGTGTGGCCATTGCAATGGATTCTCAAACCTAGAGGGGAAAAAAAAGTTGAGAATGCTATGAAAGGAACAACTGGTGTCAGAAGTGGTATATGGTTGGAGAAAGGAGGTTAATCTGACTTCTTCTGCTTCAGTGTATGTTAATGCTGGTGACACTTGGCTGTTGTTGTTAATAATGATTCTTTTCCCTCCTTGAGAAGTTAGATAAGAAAGTCTGACACCCACCACCACCATTTTTACACAGCTAACTATTTTCCAGGTTACCTAACCAAACTCCTGCAAAACCACACCGCCTATGCCTGCGATGGGGACCACTTGAATCTCCAGTGTCCTCGGCATTCTACGATAAGTGTCCAATCGGCATTTTATGGGCAAGATGATGAAACATGTAGCTCTCAACAGCCTGTATCCCAGAGGACAGACAGCCTAACCTGTGTGGCCTCCACCACACTGCAGGTATTACCTCTGATAAATATTTTAAGATGATAAAATGGTCTTAACACTCTCTCTCTCTCTCTCTCTCTCTCTCTCTCTCT